TGAAGAAGCGGCTGATTCCAATCTTCACCATTTTTTTCAAATTCATTTCCACCAGCAATGGTATCCCGTTTTGTGCTTTTTTTCATGAGGTTTACCGTGTTGCTAGTTTACGGTTCTCTACCACTGGACGGGGGTTTCGGTATTTAGGAATAGTACGAGTTGAACAGAATGACTCTTGAGCAACCCAAGACACAAACCAAGGAAGTTCAACGAAAATTTCGTTGAAGATAGCTTATAGGGGTAATCGATGGTCCCGATCAAAATTCCGACACTTATTTTTAGCGTCGACGCATCTTGGCGTCAGGATGGTCTTGAAATTCCCTTGAAATGAGTGTACCTAGTGGTCCGTGGGGGAAAAATGTGGCTCTAAAGCACTAAAACTGGAAGTAAGTGCCATAATCGTGATCAGGGCACTGAATAACATATAAAGATTAACTTTCAGAAAAATCTCTTGCTTAATGATATAGGAAAATCGGAACTGTTGAACAGCACCTACTGGTGATATACCATCGCGAATGTGCCTACAAACGGTAGATGTAGTAAAATACATAAACAAACATATATGGAAGCGAGAACAGTGAAAAATAAACAGGGTAAAAACTCTCAAGCCGAGGGAAGTCGAACCACCGCCCACCCCTCACTGTCCGATTGTGACTCCTCCACGCTATTTATTGGGCCATCCAACCGTATTAGCTGAACGCCGCCCAGATCGTTGAAGAGACGATTCCAAGGATCCGTCCACTCCTAATCATGCCACAAATGATACCCCTTTGCGACTATTTTGTTCCTCGATTCCAGTAGCACCTTTATAAGGACCTTCCGCTCAGCAAATGGGTCTTCGCTCGCAAGGTATTCGACGCCGGGCGTGAAGAGCATGAGGCATTCGATCACGGCGGTAGCCTGCGCGGTCTGAGTGCTGCCGCTCGCTGAAATCTTGAATACGCTGCCTTGAACACGCTAGTCTGTAGCATCCCAGACACCGAGAAGTGTGGAGGGTTTGTTTCCCTTGAACTCCTACTAGGGGATCTTTGCCTTTCTCGAATTCTTGGGAGTCCCTGGTTTTCTTGATTTCGCCACTTGTTTTGCACTCTTGATTATCAAAACTGATAAAAGGGTCTCATATTCGGGTTTTATTTCGTAAACATACTTCACTTAAGGGTTTCCATTATGAAGTAGCATTTTCAAGAGCAGCAACTCACGAGGTGGTTGGGAAACTCACGTGAGAACTTACTTTCTAGTGAATCGCCGGCCTGCTGCTATCGGTAATCAGGTTTTTCAGTTGAATATCCGACGATTCTCAATCAAGTGGATCATTAATCGACCGACGCAATAACATATCGTCGAGTTTACAAATGGTACTCATCTCTGTACTAGGACCATACGCTAAACAATGCAGAAGGATAAGGGTGACGTTTGAGGTCCACGTTACGACGGCTCTGCGAAGCGGCGTTGTTACTTTATTATGCGCGCGACATTCGCACCAGGGCAAAACTGATTTAAGGCGAAGAGCTTAAATTGTTTCAAATTAACAAGCTAGAAATAGTGGATAGCGTGTGTGCTCGCCACAATAACGTAGAACTCCTAGCCGGCTCTCGGAAAGTATACTCTAGCCTCTCTATGAGGGAGTGTGTCAAGCAGTATGGGCAACGGCGTCAAAACCGTTGGTCGAAGCAATTGGTAGAAAACGAGCCATATGACCGATATGATACTGTCTTGTCACTTGCTCGCTTCAACGCCGGTGGAGAACGGGTTTGGCATCTCGTCAGACTCATTTCGCCTGATACGCCTCTACGTCCGCTGTGAACTGGATAATAAGCGCTATAGAAAGGCTCATTATCACACCCTTTCTTTTTGAACAAAAGGATCAATGATATGCACCGTTTCCCAGTATCGACCAGCTCGCATCGTATCGCTTTGAAGTAGTCAGATAAGCAGCGGAACAAATCAGGTACATGTTCATTCAAAGAAAACATTCGCGCTTAGTTAGTGTGCAAAAGCCCTTCGTAGCACAAGGTAGGGCGGTCTGTGATCGCAGAGCATGCTTCACTTTTGCGACTCGACAGTGCATGATAAGAGGGCCACATCCGGGCGGTGGTAGACTAGCCCCGCCTCTGTATACTCGAAATCCCTGAGATCGGGTAGGCGGGGCATTCGAACACTGTAAGGAACTGGTTACTAGTGGAATATTCCAGTCTGGGACAACTGTCATCTTGTTCTGCGTTGGACAGAGACACGACAACAATTGTGTCGAGATGAAAATATGGCATCAGAAGCGTAGAAGCCTTAAGGGTAAGTTGAAACATGCGGCCACGCCTACCCGATCTCAGGGATCTCGAGTGTAGCTGTGCTCACCTTTATCACTTCGTTTAACGGTTACTATAGGATCTTAATCATTGGCATGTTCTCTGGCTATGCCGGAGTGCTCTCAAAGGTTCCACTGGTTTTTTACTCGTCAATTCCAAGATCACCACACGATCTAATAATTCTCAGCTCCATCACCTGCGAATGACGACCTGGACGCTGTCTTTAAATGACATGAAAGCTTTGCTGGCGACGCCATCACCGACGCTTACAGCTACAGGACAAGGTCGTGGTCCAGCATACACTAGTAGAGTGCTCGAAACAATGCTGACCGAAATTAGGGACGAAACGTGATTACAGCATTAGTGGAAAGTCATTTGCTACTACTATGCCCAATTCTGTTACCCGTCATCATTAGTCTATTCTTGGTAAGTCGCACCAGTCGCTTAAAGACACATAGTACGCTCACACACATTGAGGGTGTATGAGACTATCAGCCCCCCAGCTGTCGATGTGTCGTGGTCCCCCGCCCAAACATGCCCAGGAATGGAGATACAGGACCGTGAAACACGCTAATTCCTCCATGCTCCGCCTTACACCTTTTCCTTCATAACATCCGTCGTAAGCGCGCGTGTCGCGTGCGGCTCCTTGGCACTTTGCCAAGTCCTTTAATTG